ATGATTCAAAAGCCAGCAGTATAAAATTAGCTATTGATTGTAGACTATTCTCTTGGCTCAACAACCAGGTAAATTTATCACAAAGATAAAGGGATGGAAATCCAAGGAAATTTTGAATAAATAAATTCTTTAGTTACAGGGCTACAGAGTTTTAAAGACTACTAAATCTGCCAAGGATGATAGGTCTCAGATGGTAAAATGTAAAAAGACAATTTTTTTTAGGAATAAGCTAAAGGAATAAGTTTCCTATGTTGTAAATAGTTCTTGTAACAATCTGATAGTTTCACCTTTTACCCTTCCTAACCCCTCTCTTGACACTCCTGCTCAGTCAGTAAGTGTTCAGGTGGCAGGCAGGAAAGTTCCACTTTTTTCCCAAAAAGTTGCAGAATATATTGGTAAAACACAGAATGCATTAATTTGATAAACTTTGATTAATTTTTTTAAATTTTCAAATTCCCATTAAAATCATATTTATATCATAAATTCATTATCTTTTTTCAGGCAGAAGTTACAAAACTTGCTAGAACGCTCCTCTTTGTATAGAGTGAATGTTTTGCTCAGCAAAATTGGTAACCTTGAGTTGTTCAATGAAATTGCAATATTATATGGCAAGGTAAGAGAGAATTAAAGTTCTTTTAATTGCAATGCACACCAGGGGGTTTCCCAGGGAAGCATCCCTCAAAGTTCTTGGTATGATCAACTTTTTACTTTGATACTCTAAAAAAATGTCCTGTTAATTTTAATTTTCATAAAACATCATGGATTATATATGGACAAGCCCCTGTTTTCCTTTGATTGTCTTCCATACTTTCCTACTCGTACAACTAAAGTATTTTCTTAGACTGCGTGGAAGTGTTGAAATATTTAACTGCATGAGCAGAAATTATCCTGCAAAAGCTGTACTTAATTATTCTTTAAAATAATTCTTCAAAACAATTATTCTTAAAACAATACAAAAATAATGTTACCTTTGGCCTTTTGCATGGTTAGCTCCCTCAAACTTTTGCATGTCGAGCCCCTTCTCATAAATTTCTAAACCCCCTTTGTTTGAAATTCCTACCTATGCCACTATAAATCTTGCGTATTAACACATATTGACCTGTTCCTGGCAGTATTGGGTTATCTTAGGGTCTGTGCCAAATCTAATTTTTCTGCAATTTGCACCTGCGCACTTGGTTCTTGTTACATTTTGCAGTTAAACAAGAGGTGGGCTTCATTTGCACCACATTGACTTGCATTGTTGCTAGTTAAAGGGCCCACACTATGTCAAGAAAGCTTAAAAAAATATCTGTCTACAGAGGATTCTCTGTCTGTTGGAAGTGCATCATGAAATTCTGTCTGTGCATTCTGTCTTGTGCATTGTTTGTTTCTTTAAGCATGGTAAATCATAATCATATGGTGAAGTGATTCCCCAAATCTAATTTCTTTTCCATCAACCACTTCTTTGTTTGCTTTTTTGTCAATTTGTTGTAATATTTTTTCTAAATCTTCTGCAGGCATCTTCCTTTTTAAGGCACTGCAACCAAGAATGTATCCAAGTTTTTCTATACCTGCGTCAGTTCTATCCAAAATATCTGTCACATATTCTTTGTTGTATTTGCTAAAAACTTTGCAACCCCATCCTAGCTCTACAACTTGTTGTGACAATGCATTATTATCCAAGGTTTGGCATGGCTCCCCTAAAAATGGAAATATATTCATGAACTTGTTTTGTATTAGGTGACCAGAAAATGATTACTAACAAAAAGTAGCAAGAGGATTTGAAATTTTTTCTAAAATGATCCTTGATGTACCGATAGGCTATGACACAAAGTCTGAATATTCTTACTTTTTACAAAATGTATGCAGCCATGGGGGGTTGATAGAAATCCATGCTCTTCCCTTATGGCTAGTAATCAGGGCGGCTACTAGCAATTGTACATAAGGGGGGCTCCCATCCCATTTGCAAAAAAGTGGATGAGCCATCATTTATTTGCTAACAAATCTGAAAATTTTGCCAACGAAGCAACCCCACATGGCAAAACCCCTAGTTTTTGAATTAAATTTTTCCAGGGGGTGTCACACCCCACAAAATCCAGAGTAATGGCCTTGCTAACAATTTATGATGAAATCGAAATTCATTTATTGAAAAATCTCTCTAAATATCAAGAGATTGTCCAAAATGTTAATCTTGTAGACATGGAACTTGCAAGTGTGACCGTTTTTTACAAGATCTTGTGCATGCACAATAATTTCAGGCACATGGGGAATTTGTCCACAGCCGGAGAAACTTGGAACACATTCCTCAATCGTGCACCAATTAAATTTCTGGAAAGTAACAATCATATCTTGGTGACACTTCCCTTTAAATTCTCACCTTCTGTTCCACCTACAGACTGGCTGGCATCAAAGGCATCCCCTCCTTCAAAAACCTTCATTATTGAATTCATGTTCTCAAACATTATATCTCCAAAAAATTCTTCTTTACTGTCATTATACATGGTGAAAAAAACACCATCTTTGGCAAGGTAGTTTCTTTTAAGCAAATCAACAACGCCATCAAGAGGTTTATCCATAACAAAGAGAGAATACATGAAATGGATCATGTCAAATTGTTCTGGTGGTTTGCTAAAATATTGATTCACAGTCATAACTTCCCATTTGAATTCGATGTCTAGGCCCATGGTGCTCAGGTTTTTCTTGCACATCTCGACTGCTTCTGGATCAACCTCGACAACAGTATACGTAATTTTAGGCCACTTGCAAACCCTTAGCTCTTCTTCGATCAAATGCAGCAAACGCTTATCGACCATCCCAGTGCCAGAGCCTACAGCCAATATTTTGTAATCAACTGAATGGCAGAGTTTCTTGGCGGCAAGGGGCATCACTTCCTCCTTCAACCATGGCATAATTTGATCTGTAGACTCACTAGTGTACCCGGGATGAAACTGGTACAGACATCGAAACCATTTCTCTTCTTGCTCTGCCATCCTAATTATCTGATTACAATGTATTTTGACCGATTACACTTCAATGCCCTGCCCACCTCACTGTTAGGCCTTCATGAAGAGATCCAGCAAGGAATGTTCAGGCGTCATGACAACAAGGGAGATTCCCCTTCGTAGGTTTTCGGAAAATATGTGCCATGTGTTTCAGAGTTTCTTGTGTGTCATTTTGACACATTTGTTGATTATCTAAGTTTTGTCAAATAGCTCACCAACACGAATAGAGATTTTTTGTAGCACGGGCAAAATAAGCATACTTTATTGTGACAAAAATAGACATTTTCTCTACAAACACTCCAGGCGCAGGTATTCACTTTTTCCGGAGGGGTGACCCACAAAAACAAGCAAATTTTCCGAAAAATGACAAAATTTACCGACAAGGATCTAAAAACTGCACTTTAGCAAAAGTGCTCGCCCACTACCCTCTCCCTACCCCCACACCCCCAATCATCCCCTATGAGTCTGCACGTGCTACTTTTTTTAAACTTTCACATGGTAATTTTAATAAAGAGGCTTTTAAACTTTCACGTGCTGCACATTTTGTAAAATCACTGTGAGAGTAATTAAAAATTTTTTTGCCAAAATTGTACTCTGGATCCTCAACGACCTATTTCCTCGACGCCCCACTTGCTACACTGGACGCTCTGGAACCCAGGGTACCAAGTTCAGTTCGTTTTGTTTGAAATAGAAATGCTCAGAGAACGGACAAGACCAATCTGTCTATTTTGTAGGTGGGCATGGTATGATAACATAGTACTGACCACCCCCATTACTTGTATTGTTTCCACAAAGAGTCTGATTTAATTATACTGGCTCGAGAAACAACCATTTCTTTGCACCTAAAGCTTCAGCAAAACCTTAATTAGTTATTCTAATTTGTCTAGCATTTGGAAATGTAGTTAAATTGTTTGTTAATCTCTAACATATGATACTTATCTGTATCAATATGTTTTATAATCTAGCTAGACAATCATGAGAAGGCATTAGAGATTTTGGTTCATAAGGTCGAGGACCCGTCAGCAGCTGAAAGATATTGTATCGTCACTTCTGAGGTATGAAGCTTTGGGTTTTTAAACCTCTTTTTGCAGATTCAATAGACCTTTCAATAAACACGAGTTCTTTATTTACCTCAAATATTTCCTCTTTTGCTCTGCTGATTGTTAATGGGCTTGGAGGATACTGTTTTCCAACATCTAATACGAAACATGGCCACTCGAGCTGTATAAAAAATGACATGGAAAGTGCCCAAATCGCGAAAATTAAAGTGACATTTAATGACATAAGGGGGTACTTTTCCAGGAAGCATTTTCTTCAAGTTTCTAAGAGAAAAAATGGATTCTACTTCTACGTTGGCCATTTTGAGTACTGAACAAAATTAATCCGATACAAAATTAATATAAAACTTGTTTTCAGGGAAAGGACCCAGGGCTTCGAAAGAAACTCTTTCATGCACTTTTAGCTGTCTACCTCCAATCACCCGGCAGGTATGTTGGCTTATTGAATAATTTGAAGAAATCCTTTTTGATAACGAAATAACTCAGTCGCTTTAATGATTATGCTTAGGGAAATTGTAGTGATATGTTAGGAGGGGCAAGGGAGAACTTACCACCGATTACAAAAATTTTTGAAGAAAGCTCGACAACGGCTAATGCCCCCGGTCCTCTTTCGTCAGAGGCCCTGCTGTGATTTAGAGCAAGAAACAGAGAGGAAGCTCTTTTAGAAGTGAAGTTAAGTTTAGGAGATACAATTAAGTAACTCGGGTTGAGAATAAAGAGAGAAAGAAGAGATTTCACGTTTTCTTTTTTCATGTTAATAGGCAGCACTTGAGAGAAGTGCCATGAGATGAAGTTGGGAGGGGCATGTTGGCAAATTCTACATGATTTCACACGACTATTTTCAAAGGTTACAGCAAATGTGTCTTAATTTGACAAGATAACAAAAATAGCACTTTTAGAAAGTTGTTTTGGTTAAACGTCATGACTTTTTGATACAGTGAGGTATGTTTAGTCCCAACCTTTCCAATGGATTCGCCCATGTCAAGGTCACTTTCATCATTTTCTGAGACCCCCTCATTAAAAGTCTTATGTACGCGTCATTACTTCATCCTATCCTTTTTAATTATTATTCTTGTACCAGGTCCCGTTTCATAGTTCTTTTTTAAGCAAGTCGGTAAACCCAAGCTACCCCGATTGAACACTGTTTTTGATTTCATTGATTCCCAAATTATTTGATCGCTTGTCTCTACTATAAATGCCATTCATTTCAAAGCGGCGACGCAGAAATAGACAGAAAACCAGCTATGCAGCTTCTCAACACGTACCAGGCTGATTTTGATCCTTTAGAGGTATGACCCTTCGGCCTTGCTTAGCCCATGCAACCATTGAAATATACAGTAACTAATCTTTTGCATTATATTAATGGATCTTAAGATTCAACCAGATAATGTCTTGAGGGTGTTTATCATTGATAACTATTTTAGTATGGAGACAATTATTCTTATCATATCATCTTGATATAGTCTAGAGCTTTGAGGTCCGTGCGAGGATAATATTGTCGTCATGCAATCAGTGAGTAATTCTGAACGGGACACAGAATTACAGTTTGCTCTCTGCTGGGATGGGTGGCTTAATGAGATTGGTAGGACTAACATCTTGATAATGTAGGACTAGGCTTTTAAGCCTTACAACTGAAACTGCATTAGACAGGAGAGTTGGTTTTACAAACATTGAGTCTAGGTCAAACTATTGCAGTCATAAAAATTACTTAATTTCCCAGGCAAAGACCGTCTTCAGTAGTTCTTCAACAGCATATTTTGCCCAAAATATTTGCTGAATTTAATTCTTTGTTTAAGTACTGTTTTAATAATATTTCACCGCTTTATTGCCGCATTGGCCATTTTTTAATACTGTCAAAATAATTGCAATCCCTCAAAAGTTGTGGAAAAGTCTCTTATTAAACCATAATGTTTTTCCTATTCAATTAAGTTCTTACGAGTTAGATATTCTACATGCTGTGATTCCCCTTTTCTGAAACTTTTACTTTACGATTGGACACATGTTTTATGATTTGATCAATTTTACTTTATACCATTGATGATGTGATGTGATGTGATGTGATGTGATGTGATGTGATGTGATGTGATGTGATGTGATGTGATGTGATGTGATGTGATGTGATGTAATAATTATATTCTAAGCCAAAGTTGATTTTTTAGGTAATGCAAATTATTCCTGATGGCTGGACGGTTGGTGAAATATCAGGTTTTCTCTCAGGCGCAGTTAGAAAGAGCTTACACACTTCAAGGGATAAGAAATTAGAGGCCAGTTTATCTAGATCTGTCTACGTAAAGGTACGAAACAAGATCAATAAACCTCTCTTTTCACCTTTCCATCCATAGATTAGATTTCCATTTGTTTTGTCTTTCCCTTCACCTAAGGATCATTACAACATTTTTTAAAAGATAAAAACAGGGCTCTTCAAAAGCTCCATATTCAACTCTAATCTTCTTTTAATAAACTAAAGCTTTTCATCTGACACTCTTCAGAGTTTAAAACGTCAGAACATAGATCGAAAACTCTACGCTAGGAAATATATATACCCAGTTGTGGATCGAAATAGGCCAATCAGAAACACGAGCACATGCCTGTTGAGGTTGACCAATCAGTGCCGCTTGCCTATTGAGAATGTTACCAATGGAGTCCTAAGGTAAAAACGAACTCCTTTTGTCCACACAGTAGCGGTTTTTCGTGCTTATGTAGATAGATTACAAAACAGCTATAGGAACGACAATCTGGCTTTACCAATAATCCGAATCATGTCGCCATTATAGTTGTTTGCACAATCTGGGTTTTCCAGTAAATGCTGCCCGATAGCAGAATCGCAGGTTTCAGTTGTAATTTTAGAATCTTCTTTCCTCGTTTCTTTCAAAGGTAGATAGGAGTTCAATCTGCTCCTATCTAAGCCAAGCAGACACTTCTGCTAAGGTTTGTTTCAAGAAGGAGGAAAATATCTTCACCTGAAGTAGATAAATTAGTAATCACAGACTGTCAATTGTTTTTTGTTTAATCTAATTTGCTTAGAAAATTATATGTTTCTATCCATGTGTCTTTGAAATCAAATTTCGTTTATTGCATTAACATGTCGACTGTTGGTCTGAAGTTGTATTCTTATCTTTCACTTGTTTTCGTAAAGTTTTTAGGCCCTTATCAGTTCAATCCGTAAAACCCAGTTTGTTCATTCGCCAATGCATTAAAGTATGATTGTACTTATAGTTTTTAGAACAGCTGTTTCCTTCAACTGATTATATCAGCTCTACTTAGTTCTCTTAGGTCATCTCTAAAGAAATTGACTTTTTTATGTCTTGCAAATCACCTACTTTTGTTTAGTTAGCTTAATCAGTGAAAATTAAATGTTTTGCTTGTGCTCTCGCTGTTTTCATAACCATTTTCTGATTCATTTATTTTTGAAAGAGTTTTAAAGTTACAGGAAATTCAAGATAGCATTTGCGAGGATGTTGAAAGACATTTAATATCCGAAAGAACTAAAATATTGTAAAACCGAAAATCCAATAAATTTATAAGAAATATTTGAAAAAGATTTTTACATCTTTGAGACTTTCTCCCAGCTTGTGGATTGATCTCTGTTTTTTCCAGCTTCTTTTCACATATACTCGTTTAAATTTCTTCCATGTGAAAATGCTAGATTCGTTTTATTATGATTCACAACATTAAACGATGCTCTTTAAAACATATTTCAGACACCGTTTACGTTGAAGCTGCCATAGCCAATGCTGCTATACATCAAACAAATTGAAGTTTGATTTCGTTATGGTGCAGTACCAGAATATTGAAAGATTTATGGCATAATTCATATTTTGCATTGTGTCTAATCTACGAAATTTTGAGTAGTAATTTCGGAGTTTGAGTAATAATCTGATTAAACAATTTCATAAAGACTTTTTGAATATACATTTATCAATAAACCATACAAATTTTTGTAGCTCCTTCTTCTTATAACTATCTTTTTTAAATCTCCTTCGAAAAGAACTCTTGCTAATAGATCATGTTTTGGTTGCAAGTTTCAGCATTATATTTTCTAGCAGATAGTTCTTGATTCCTTTACTTAATTACGCATTACTTTTCCTTATGCTCTTTCTTCATTTCTGCTAAGTACGCACAAATTTGAAATGTTTGCCGTTTATTTATAGAATCGAGGTCTTTACATTGGCTGTCAAAATGGAGCAATAAACGTTACTGACGAGAGGCAAGTTCAGAAATCTTACGTTGGCTTAACAGTTAAAATGCTTTTATACCACGTGCGATATTTAGCCCGCAGAGCCCCCGTCTTTGCCAATTCTCTTACAAAGCACCTTGTTTCTTGTACATAGGTTATATCCTGTGTTAAAGGGGTGGTCGTTTTGCTATGGATTCATTTATTCTTTTCTAAAATTTTCTAACTTTTTTAGATTGCCCTATTACCTTAGGGCTGTATATCTAGATCAATGCTTAAAAATTTTGTTGTAGGAAAAGCTGATGCTAGAAAGCTTATTTGCTCAAAATTATACTATTAATTTATTGGAATTATTGTTTGTCAGTTTGTCAAAAAGTGCCCGATGCTGTATAGTCAAAGCTCTACTAGCTTTTCGTGATGATCGTATTCAGCAGGAGACTCGGAATAGCAACTTGGAAACTTCTTTTTTACACACCAAATAGCGTGTTTATCTATGTATATTATAGATATACTATGTATTTTTTACTATATTATTATGTTTTAGTTATTTATTAAAGATCTTACTTTGTTTTAGGACGTGTGCTGTTTGTCGCAAACCATTTCAAGAGCCAAACATCGCGCAATACCCAAATGGGACTCAATGTCACGTGCACTGCATTGACGACAAAAACGTATGTCCGGTAACTGGAACAAACTTTTCAAAGCGAGTTATTGTTACGAGGTAATAAATAAATCAATCATTCAATACCTGATTGGAGTTATGGTAATTAGTTTTTGCCATGTAAAGTGGCAACAGGGCAGATTAATGTTAAGTTTCGTAATAGAAAATTCCTGTCTAGAATTTGTTAATATTCCCAGGACTGAAAAAGAAGGGATTATTTTTGTCCTTAATGTAATTACTGGCATTTTTGTTAGTTTGAAAAGGGATTTCACAAAAGTGCTGTTACTGAAGCCAGGGCTATAGTAGCCAATGGTCTGAGTTTCGTACAAATATTTCATGTCTCAAAATTTCGAAGTAATTCGCCCTGTGCTATAGACTAAGAATAGATGTTCCACATTAGTGTAAAAATCCTCATTTTACTGGTAGTGTAAAAATTTTGAATATAGAAACATATTAAAAACATAGTTTGAATGAACCAGAAAGTTCTTTTATGTTTAGAGGCCGGCAAAAATGAGGGATTATTTTTTGTCTTCATGTATCGAAGGCTCCTGAAATTACTCACAATATTTAGATAGATAATAAAATTACCTGTAAATAATATTCAATAATTGATTATAATTTTGTTATCATTTCAAGCAGAACTTTTTCGTATGTATTGGAATGCACATCTGGTTATTTTTTACATGCTCTCAATTTTAAGTACCAAATTGCAAATCGCAAAGTAATTGCAGATGATGTAACATCCCCCTGAACACGTTTATTAAAAATGCAAGGAAAGTATCTCAGTTCTTGCATAAATTGATTAGCAAAGTTATATAAGAATCTTTGACTTGGGCCTTTTAGCTTGTTTAAATGTTTAAATGTTTAAAATGTCATGTTTTGGAGACAACTATTGCTTTGAATCCTCACTATTTGAAATACCTTCGCCGTGTGTCTTTCATCTTGCTACAAAATCTAGTTTGGCTCTTTGTATTATGGAAGGGAAATTTTACCTTGTTTCTTTGCATTTAACTGTTGAAAATTGACAAGCTTACTTGCAATGAGCTTAATTATCCATTCTCTTTAACGTCTTTTTTTCCAAAAATACCAAAAGGTTTACTTTTAATCCTTTTTTTTATTTTATTTTTACGGATACTGATTGCCAAAATAGAATTCTTAAAATAAGGAGACCACAATTTGCTTATCTTTTTATTTTCAAAAGATATAAATGACAAGTTAAACAGCTTCACGTTACGTGTAAATCTCTCATAAAATATATATTTTTTAAATATACAAACCAAAAGAATTGTAAATAACAGTTTTCTTTCTCTCGATATTTCATTTATTTCATTTCAACGTTTGTTTTTCCGTTTGATTTCAATATTTCTACGTAACAATTGTTTCCCGTTCCATTAAATGAAATCTTAGTACAGATTTTCTTACTTAAAATATAATGTTTCCGCTTAATCTTCTAATTAATTTCTACAAAATTTTACCTCCGTAAAAGCCAGGACTAGAATGCAACTCTGCAACTCAAATGTTTCTTTACATCTAATGTTACCCCTTTGAGTGAAATCTGTGTTTTTTACTTGTTAAATAAAAACTTCCCACATTTAAAACATGGAAGGGACATCGAAGAGACATAAATACAAGGAAGGGACAAAGACGGGTGTAGCCTGAGATGCAATTTACGGGGAGAAATCTTCAAAGGGTTATAAGTCACTAAACACAAGATTTTCTTCGTAAAGAAAAGATCATACTTAAAGTTTTAATGTTATTTCTGAGAGAAACTTTTAAAGTTTCTCTTAAATGTATAATAACTTGTTAATAAAGCCCTATTTATAAATATCCGTTTGTTAGAGATCTCAATTGCAAAAGATTGCAGAAGGATTAATTTCCCTTACTTTGGCTATGCATCATGTTCTGGCGTCTATTATACAGTTAACTGCACAATATAGAGCTATATACAAAAATACAGGGCATGTAGGCCAACCGTGAATAAATAATCTCCGTACAAAAATCATTGTTGCTTCAGTGCTAGTCAAGAAAATTACGTTCGATAATATCAGAAAGCCGACTGTTACCGCGCCACCTGCTGCGCATATTCTGCGATATGTCTGCGGGGTTATTTTAGCAACAAACCGTTTTGATACCTCGAGCTTCATGATGCTAGCAGCAATAGCTTCCATAGATATGCCCAACCAATTTGTCAGCGCCCATGCGATGTATTTTTCTGTACCTCCGTGCCAGAATCCAACGAATGCAAAGCTGGAAAACGAGGCCAAAATTTGCCGCACTATTCCATAACGAGATCCTCCAATTGGAATGTAAATGTAACGACGCAGAAATGCATATAATCCCTTGTCGAAATATCGCCACATATCGACATAAGTATAAAGGTTCGAGATACAGCCGGGCTGTCCTGGGGGCTCCATACCATCGATTTTGGCGAATACTCCAGCGAAACGATAAAACACGACATATTTCAAGTAAAAGAACTGGAGAAGCGACCAGATCACGCCTAGAGTCTCCCAGCAATTGAGTTCAACAAGAATGTGCATGTGTTTAGAAATGCATGTGGAATACAGAAAATGGAAGGATATTTCGATCAAGGCGAAGTACGCGATACAGGAACAGATTTCGACAGCAAGCGACGCTACAGACGGTTTTTGAACACGTGTTTTCATCTGAGAATGGAATTTGTCAAAAGTCAGAAGTGGCCCATTCAAGAATAATGGAAAATAGAATACAAATGATAGAAAATCTATAATGTTAGGCGCATTTTCAGATGCCTTAGATCTGCTTGATTCGGAAGTTGGTCGGCCAATTCTTGCAGCCTCCAAGGCGAAACTCAGCAATCGTAAGTTGCACATCATCAAAGCGAAAATAACCAGGCTTCGTATTGTATCATCGTTTGCGAGTGGCGAAATTATGTAGCTTAGGAATGGATCGAAATTGACGGCGTAAGTGGCAGCTAAAAGATGAATCCATATAGCACAAACTGATTTGGTCTTTGCTGTGATGTAAACAGTAAGTGCATGGCACAAAAGTATCGCGAGTCCCGTTACACTAAGAAGCATCGATAATGCGATGAAAGAGACTGTAATAAGCGCTATTTTACGAGCCATTGTCGATAATTTTGACATAGTGTTACTAAGAGTTGAACTTATAATGCAGACGATTGTGTAAAAGCTGAAAAATTGTCTCCAAAATGTCCACTCACCATCTGCTATATCTTTGAGTCTGCCATTAAAAAGAGATGTATCGGCGTCGAAAAAGCCCTCGTGAAGTTGGTACAGATACCTATTTGAAATCTCGTATGTGTACCAAAATGGCACAGCTACGCAAGGTAACCAAATACCCCAGTGTAATTTCGTTTCCAGTGAAGTTGCTGGAACAAAATCAAGTCTTGCTGCCATTTTAGGCTGCCGATAGTTTCCTTCAAGTCTCCTGTTTGTACCCCTCTATACTCCGAATCCTCACGCCAGTTCTAAATTCTAATCTAAGTTCTTTCACTTTAAAACCTTCTGTCTCCGCTTGTAGGAATTAATGTAGAACAGTTAATTCTTCCAGGCAGAGCTCTTTTTCCAACGGTGAATTTTTACAAATGTTCACAGCACTCCTTAATGCACTTCGCATCCTCGTGGAATCTGTGTTTTAAAAGCGATTCCTCCCATCATCTTCATCCATGGAAAACACATTACAGTTTTATATTAACAAGGAGATCTGGTGCGCTGATCTTTGCCTATTGTTCTATTGTTTCATATCACATTGATGTAAACACGTGTGCGGGTAAGCCATTTCTGTGTAATAGAAAAGACAAGCAATTTTACATCAAACAGCTGGTTAAACACTATATTTGTGAAGCTCTAACGCAGTTCGTTATAAACAGATATACTAATACCACAGCCCATCAAACATTTTTGTACCGTATTTGATCAGGCAGTGTCGTCTTTGCTGCCCATATGCTGAGCTGGGTGCAATTCTCATCAGTTTTGCACTTAGCCCAATATTATCGAAACAGCAAGTTAAAAACTGTTGGGCACCATCCTCTTAACCCTTTCGTTATTGACAAAATTTTAGGATTTTTGCCTACTTTATCTAAAAATTCGGCAAAAATTGATTTTTCAAGATAACTGGATGATCTTTTGCCCAAGTAATCATCAATAGCTGTGTTTTATGCAAATGATCTTATTATGCCAAAATTATATTATAATTGGACATTAATTAGCATCCAATTTGCATAATTGAATATAACAGAAAAGAACTTTATTAATTAAGGTCAATTATCTTCAATAATAAAACACTTAACTACTTTTTTCTTTCAATAATGTATTTTGTCATAGTCTTAGCACACTGAGTTGAAATATCAATCATTTTTCTTGAACAGTCTTTTTTTAATTAATTAATATGCAACAATGGTTCTAAAACAATTCAATTCAATTTGGCAAGTGCAATTTCGATTTCGACTATTAAGAGAAAGAAAACAAGTAAAAAACACAAAATCTTGGAGAGAAAAGATTGTAATTTTGACCAAATGTTCTTTTTTACTTTTTATGCTTTTTTATTTTTTACTTTTTTTTGCTTTTTCTCTATCTAATCTACATGAATTTACCAAAAACAACAACTAATCTAGCGATCACGACTGTAACTTAGGAAAGCTTCCTTGTACTGCTCAAACTCTGGGGAATGGAAAAGCAAGAAGCAGTTTCTTTCTCCAATACACAAAGGGATATCACATACAACACAGCAAAATGATGAGGTTTTTGCTCTATAACTTTGATCTATGCTATGCACTGACTTCATAACTGAGCAAACTTTGCAAACTTGGTGTTTCTCAAGCTTCACCGGCAAATGCCCTTTCTCTAATCTATTCTGCCACAATTCCTTTTTACTAACTGCCTTCTTCAAAGTTGCTGATCTTTGCTTTGCACTATTTACTGCATGAGCTGTTGCCTTACAGATGAAGTCCTCTACATTACTAACTTTAGTACCTAAATCTGCAAACGATCTGACCTCTGGTTCGGCTCTAATGGCTTTCTGCTCAACAAAAGCAAGCTGAAGGGCTAAATCCTTTTTAAAATCAAGAAAAGAATAGTTGTTAGGCATTTTCTGCTCAGGGGTTGGGTTTCTAAGCTCTCTCCAAAACACATATGCATCCCAAGCACAAATATCAACAAAATGAAAGAATAATGTTTTCCAAAACTTTTTAGTCCTATATTGAACAGAATACATATGGTACATCTGATCAGACAAATCTACACCATTCATATCTTTGTTATAATCTGAAATGCATTTAGGCCTCAAAACCTTAACCTTTTTATGACTTCCATCAACCTTTGTATTCCTTGTACAATAATCATAATCATTGGCAGAATGGTAGGTGGAGAGAACAGAGACAACATTCCTATCAACCCACTGTACAAGCAACACATCATTCGGCTTTTCCCCATTTCTAATATACCTTATTGTTCCTCGATCAAGTTTCTTCCCCCAAGACTGCCTATTTTTCATTACCTCAGGAAAGGATGAGGAATTTTCCCTTACAGTACCAACAGCATTTATACCAACTGAAGTCAAATATTGGAACAATGGGACACTGCAATAAAAGTTATCAGCAAAAAGAACATACCCCCTGTTTACCAGAGGTTTTGTTAAATTAATAACAACTCTGGCAGCTAATTGGTTGATGAGATTTCCTGCATTTTCTGGATTGGGGTTTTCATTAAAAGCCTTAGCTCTACCAAGTCCTCTTTCTATCCCTTCAAAACTATTATCAACAACACTGAAATCATCCCAATCATCCTTTCTGCTTTTACCAGTATAAACCACCATATCCCAATTGTAGCCTGTAGCAGAATCAGCTAGAACCCAAAGTTTGAAACCCCATTTAGTGGGCTTATTCATTATATATTGTTTGAAGAAGAACCTACCCTTAGACTTAACCATACGTTCATCTATAGACACACATTTACCAGGAGTAAAAAGTTCCTTACAGCGACTTCGCATATGGTCATAGAAATGCCTTATTTTTCCTAATGGATCACTTTTGTCCTCTGTCTCAGGGTTTACACAATGAAGGGCAGCAAGTATTCCACAATACCTAGAAAATGTTGGAATAAACATTGACCCAAGAAGACCAGAAAAAAGCTTATCATTCTGCCAGTAGTTACGCCTAGCAGGGGCCTTAACAATACCCATATAAAATAGACAGGCAAGAAATCTCCTAAATTCCATCAAATCAATGGGTCTCCACACATGGCAACCATGGTCCTGGGACATGTAGCTTTGACCTATTCCTTGACCATACACAGCATAAATGTTTGAGTTTTCAATTATGGTTCCCATCAGATCAAAAGAAAAAAAAAGCAAGAAAAAGTCTAAGGCTCTACAAGGGGCACTGCCTCTCGCCCAAACTACTTTTGGGCCAACACTGCTTACATTATGTGGTGGAAGCCACTTCTGTTCCCTATCACCTGTGTAGCCTAGAGACTCTGCCAAACTACAATCACTATCCTGATACTCCTCTTCACTAACTTCTGACTCGTCATGGATCTCATCGACTACTACAGCTCCGTCCAGCTCATCGTCCAACTCAACTGGATGTCCTGAACCAGCCAGACTCTGCCTAAAACAAAGATATAGAAAATAAGCAAAGACAAGATGATTTATAATTTGGTAATTTCTGCAGCAGTGCAACAAATAGTAAAGAAATCTAAGTGAATCTGTTCAGAGCCACCATATACAAAATCAGCTGATTTGTTTATCACGGGCCTAAAATTTCTTGAAAACCACTCCCAAAAAAAACAAAAATTTTTGGCCGTACTTAGTTAGCCATTATTCTAAGATTTTCACTACAGCTTCAGAAATGGTTCTTCTTTATCGCTAATGTATCCAAAAGTTTGAAGGAAACAATATGTAAACTTACGATCCACTCTCATTCGAAGTTTCAGGATTTTCTTCTCTTTGTCGCTTCCTGCGGGGCTTCCTTCGTCTTGGTTCGTCCACTCTTTCCGTCAGCGGTGCTACAAACCGAATTTCTACCTCTCTACCACTTAATAAGGCACAGTCGATCTCAAATTCATCTTCTGAGTCAAGTCCGTTCTCATTATCCATTTTAAAATCAATTTTGAAAAACACGCCTCATTCACGACATACGCAACAAGATCGGTCAAGATGGCGGTTACAGGCCCACGTTGTCTGGGATATTTATACGAAAGAAGCGCATAAATTAATCAAATAAGTATAATTTTCTAACTGTCCAATCATATTTGAGCAATTTTAGCATAAGTTAAGGAGGGTATGTTGCCTTGGAGCTCCAAAATAAAATATTTTCGGCTAGGGTATCGGTCACGTGGTCTTATCCAGATGTACATCTGGATAAGGAATTAAAGGGTTAAAAGACTGTTTACATTCAACTTGATTTTGGAAACTTTGAAACACCTAAAATTTGAATGTCCTTCTTATTAGAACTGCTTTCGTCCCTGTGCTAGTGATCTAACACGACAGTTTACACAGCTTCAGGCATGTAGGCCCCCTCATGCCCGTCCACTGCTCGAATCCATGGCTCACATTTTCTTCGATTATTTTTTCCATAATTTTTAGGACTGTTTTTTCTCAGCTCGTGCAGCTTACTAAGACAAGTTTATTCAAACTTCATAGCAATTCAAGTGATTATGGCCTGATATTTCTGTCAAATATTGACTGTTAAATTAGATATATATTAAACTCGTTCTGTTTACTCTTGTCTCGGGGTTCAGGGAAATCTGCCCGCGTCCCTCTTTGGCGTATTTAAAGCTGAATTGAATCTCTAAATCCATGAGTGTATGGGGTTGACAATTTTGAAATTTAACTGTAACAGTGACCATCCGGAGACGTTTCTCTTCGTTAAATGTACCTCCTATTTTATGAAATATGAAAATATTCGTTTGAAAATGATGCATGTGTCGAGAAATGCGGAGCTCAAACGCCTTTTTTTATGCAGTAACCCATGCTGATCAGTATCACTACGATGCAGCCTTATTAAAGATTGGCATCATCCTTGCCTACAAACTTTTCTGCTTCCATTAAACGTAAGAAACCACCCCATATTATGTTATTATCCAATGTTTTAACTGTCATCCTTTATTTTGGCACATGGAATATTTTTTAAAGACACTGATCTTCTTTTCATTTGAACGATTTCTAAGCCAAAAAGAACAGTTTTTCTCCTCATGCCTGTAACAAACAGATAATTGCATTCATGGATGATATAAAAATTTCAAGATTTTGGCAGCTTTTTCAAGAAATGACGGAAGCTATTTAGAGCAATGGCGGTAATGAGTGGGTATGTCAAAAAAAACTCAGGATAAAATATTGCAAAACTGATTTTTTCGGAGAAAATATCAAAATATCAAGCCAGCATTCCCCCGAGCTCCGGCGCACATAGATCAGACTTTTGAAATACATTGATTGAAATATTTTGATATCACTCTGGTTTTTCAGTATTAGATCACAGGCGTGTGTACCAGTTATTTGATTAATTCCATTCCTTTATTATTGGAACACCAGCGACAACAGGTGTTCGTCCTTTGATGCCGAAAAAGGTAAAATTGAACAAAGGTGTCGAGCATCCGGGACGGCATGGCAGTAAATGGCCTTTTGACAAAAGGAAAGTCTGCCGATTGAATAGAATCCTTGGGCACACAGGTGGGGCATTTGATTGTCGCCTTGCTCTTTTCAAAGTCGGGCTGTCCCTATTTACATTCTTTACGGAATGGAACAGAAAATGTCGAAATGGCATGGCTACTTATGTTTTCTTAAAAGGAATGCAAATTGTCGACATAATCAATCATCATATTCGCCATCATCAGTTATCAACAATCATCAACCGCCTCCTACTTGTAGTCAGCATCATCATCATTATTATTGCCATCATCATCATAATCATCATCATCGCCAAATTTGATATTTTTGAAGACATTTACTTTCAGTTTACCTAGTCAGCTACACTATTTTTTTCATAAGAACACAATTTTTAAGAACACTGAAATTTAGAAAAATAGAATTTTAGAATAGAGGAAAAATAGAGGTTTTTGCAAAATTATTTCTTATGTTGAAAATCAGAGGAGAATCAGTATATTTTAATGTAGTTTGCCTGAAGTGCCAATGAAAATTTTCATTATCCTCATTGATCAATGCCGATATAACGATAAACATTATGTCTCATTCTCAAAATACTTAAAATTTAGTAAATGTAGGCTGAATTCAAATCATCGTTAAGAATTGATGCTTGTTTTGTTTGGATTTTCTTGAACGACATTTGACCTGCGTGTCTTCTGTACCATCAAGTACAGTATTTGAATAATAATTTACCTCTTTCCTTCAGCGAGACAGATAATAAATTTGTAAGCATGATTTGACAAGCCCTCGAAGTTTTCTTTCACTGCAATCTTTCAGTCTTTTTCTACTGATGATACCACACAGGCCTGATGTTCCTTCGTTTCAGTTCTAAATAGAATCGTCCAAGTGACGCCAGCTGAAGTAGATTTATCTTCACTATATTTTGGTCTTGAAGTTTCACTTGTTCGTGAGGTTGGTCAACTATTTGTACGGCCGTCGCCTGAACAAAGAAATTTTCACAGCTGATGGACTTTCTTTTATTCCCTATATAAATAAGACATTTTCAGACAGGCGCTCATTCAAATAAACTTCCTCAGTTAGCGATATTGTTTCAACTCTATAATGTGTTTATCTACAATTTACGACTTTCATTCGCTCTATCAGGATAATACCAGAAACTTGATTAAACTCGTTACCGCCATACACATTTTTATTTATTTTGATTAAAAAAAGGTAAAACAGTCAGTGCCAGAGTGGCATGCAAATTTCGAGTCAAGGAAGTCTTTGCGTAATTTACAATTAGTTGAGTTATAAAGAAATTTTCATATCTGAGATTTAGCGTTCCATGATTTTTCAGTGTGCTTGTATTGGAAGCTAGAGGGGTTTGATAGGGCTACAGTCCCCAGCCAGCTACAGTGCTTACAAATTTCGTATCTGCTGGCAAGTTGTACCAAGTTTTAGGCCCTAGTATGGATAAATCCTTGAAGTCTGAGTTAGTTTTAAATAAAGGGCTTTTTTCGTTTGATCTTCTTGTGGAGTGATGCCACAGTGGTTTGTTCTGTTGTAAAGTCATGACGTAATTTTGATTACTGTTAGTGAATATTTTCTACAAAGCTTCATAAATTTATGAAAGCATAATAAATTAGAAATTATATGAATTAACTTTAAGACATCAGTTCATTCTAAATACCTCTTAAAGCAATTTTGCATTATTGAGTGGCCTGAGAATATCGCAGATTATGTATGTATCAAATTATATGTATCTCTCTATGTTGAAGAAAAATGAACTCAGTTGTGAGGCTTGAAGCATTCCGAAAAATATCACCTATAATTAGAGTATTATTTAGAGCTTGTTAAGTATGATTATTATACTGGTGACATTATAATATGCCGATTAAATATTGATCCTTTATCACCAAATGATAGCTTATTTTACTTATAGAGATGTTCTTGAAGAGACTCAAAATGATTGAGAAATATGATATTTTCTTCTTAGTAAGCTCAACTATTGAGAAAAGTCCTATTTTAAGAAATTCCTTGCATAAAAATTCTTCTAAAAAGCTGCTATTGTGTTGTAAAAATAGAGGAAAAGACAATGGGATAAGTGATTGTAAGAATGCTTCAAATGTAACAATTAATTATGTCCTGACGTTTTTTTATAATGGCCTTTTTGAAAATGTAAAACTTGCTCAAAATCTGTATTGTTTGTTTGACCCTATTTTGATGGCTGGCATTTCCACGTTGCTAATTGTTATTTTGATGTAGTACTGTGATTCTCACCAAATAAATAGCTTAAAAATTAAAAACCCATAGGCTCATTTCTTTGATTCAGCACCTTGTATTTGAGAGCCTTTTTACATGTTGACGAAGGTTTTAAGTTTAGTATTTTAAATTGTATCTAATTTTCTAAAAGATAACTTAGCTGGTTTCGCTTCCAAATGTAAGAGTATACCCTTTTGATTACGAAGTTTTGACCCTGAATTGAAAATATGCCCCGTTTGAAATTAGAACCAAAATAGTCTAACTCTTGAAAAAGTTGGTCTTCTTTGCTGTAGCATAAGTGTGTGATAAGAAGTAATTTTTCTGTATTCTATAGTACTTTTAACGGCATTTATATGCAGTTTATGTTTAAAATGAAAAAATTGGTTTGAAATATAATTTTCCTGATATACCATTGAGCTATTGAGCTGAATTCTCCTCTAATTTATTTAGCCTTGGTATCGACATTGCTAGAGTGTCACCTAAGAGAATTAGCCAATGTCTATTTATAGCATAACCTTTGGTTAAATCATAAAACTTTTGTCCTAAGGAAATTTGATAATGAATGTTTGTGGTTATTATATGTAGATGTGATCACATAACTGTTTTGGGTGCTGGCATTGCATTTATTGAGCTAGTTCTAGCATAGTTCTAGAGATAAACTTTTGATAGAGTTATGTCGAGATACTAAAAAAGAATGTTATTTTCATTGACCTGATCGAAATTTTAATGTCTCAAACGTTATGGCCCCTTATCAGCACCAGACGAGAGGCACGTCCCCCTTGGCTCCACAGAACGACTGCATTCCTTGTAAATTAGATTCCAGACTTCCAGCGCTCAAACGAGACAGGAGACTTCTGTGAATCAGAATTTCGCGGAGTACCAGCCATTTCCTACTGATCAAGTTAGTTTTTTGAAGATCAAGGAATTATTGAAAAGGCATGGCAGCCTCAGGAGAGATAGATGAAACTAATGAAGTAACATCGAATATCCAAGTAAGCATTTTGGGAAGTTTAAGTGCTGGTGTTTCAAAACGATAGGCTGGGAGAAGCAGTCGAATGGCTAAGCTTTTGGAAGTCATCTTTCAAAAGGATATTTTAGGGGCTGGAATCGGGGAGGAAATTCTTCAGCTGAGTTCAGTTTATAACCTTAAGAACTGTTAGCTATAATTTAATGCGAAGAAACGGAAATATATTTTCTATGAGAATTTCTCTGGTCAGCTGCCAATTCCAGCTGCACAGTGAAGGAAGAGAAATGAGATCTGCTAGGTGTTAAATGGCGTTTTCAAAGAAATCATCAATTTGACCAATTCGGTGCAATAGAAATTTATATTGTGCAGTTTTAGTATGCAGAAAATTTCGAAGTCGTTTTCTTTCCTTTATTAAAATTTTGTTTGAACGAAAGTGTGGATTTCAAGAGACACTGCAAATGGCTGACTCAGCCTTTATGCACCTTTGGGAATATGACAAATTACATCATGGTCCATATTGTCTGATCAGGCCAAGTGCTCCCGTTTCCATTTATCCATTATTATTTATTCAAAAAATTATCATTGAAGCAAGAAGTGGCAAAAATATTATATTTTATCAGCTTTTGTGTCAAAAATTTACATTTCTCCAATCCTTTGAAGGATCTTATGTCAACCAATTTCTTTAATTGAGCGCACGTTGCTTTTTCGACCCACGCTTTCGATGACTCAGCTACTCAAATGTTGCTTTTCTTCGGAAATCAAAAACGTAAATTTATATATGAAACTTTTAGTATAGGAGCATTTTTAGCTACTTTAGAGGGAAATTACTCGCGCAAACAGTTGGAGCTGAAGGTTTGAAATTAGTTCTCTCCCCACGACATCTTATTGGAGTTGTTTCGTAATATCTACTTCAAAGATACATTGTTTGAAAAAGCTCACGTATTATTCAACTTTTACTTTGTGCAGAAAAATGTAAATCTGTCTTCAGCCTGACAGGCGTTCAGTGAAAAACAAGGTAGTTTTGCATTGAAGTGTGAAGTGATCCATGCAATGTGAATTTTCACAGAAAATTAATGCCCTAAATTATTCAACATGATGGATAATGACAATATAAAGCAAGAAATAAATATAGGGAAGCAGAAATAATCTTTATGCCTATATTTATGTTTTTTGACCACCTGTTTATATTAGTTTGTAAGTAAATTATTAGCTTCAGCAAAGTTAGCTTGCTTTTTCAATTGCTTTTGAAATTCCATCATCAGATGAAATCGGTGTATAACTAGGAAACTTGGTCAACCAGGGCAAGATGAAGAATTACAAAGAATCTTATATTGATAAAAGCGAAATCTTCGAAACCCTGAATGTAATTCCCCTTGGATCTCAATAGGGGGTTGACCTTGACCATGGAAAATTTGCCTCATTGACTTGTGGTGCACAATTGTGTTAAGGGCAGCATAGGTTCCAAATCTTTGATTGGCTGAGCGACCAAAATTCTGCATACCCTGTTAGCCAATCAGAATTTAAGAATATGACAACAAACGTGCCTCGCAGCTAGATTTAGGCTTATTTTGGATGTTTTTACCACTGTCCACAAAAATAAACATGTAAGATGCGCTGAAAATAACCTGAATTTTCTTTCAAAAATTGAATCTTTGACAAATTTATGCAAAATCTGCCCTTGTACTCAGTAAAAATTGTTCCGCGATGGTCAGTTATGAAGGCTTGAAACTGTCCCTTTTAAATCCCTTTAATAGTTGTTTTAGTTTTTAAATTTAAAAAGTTGTTTTATCCATGTAAAATACAAATTTGAACTTACCTTTACAAGTCACTGTTAAAATCTTTTCTTGTCGGCATTGATGTTTATGTTAATGACAAAATAAATCGCTAAATTCCCCTGAGAAAAAATGCAGTCCACCCATCTCTTAAAACAACTACAATTGTATAATTTCTTTTGCGCTCAGGTTCTTTGTATATTCATTTTAAAGACTTGAGAATCTCACATCCACTGATGTTCATTGCTACGACTAATGAGTAAAAGCTGACACAATTCGTCAACGTTGAAAAGGATGGGAAAATGAAATATGCATCATTTTCGAACATCTAACATTATTGTGAACATCTAATTCAAAGTATGATAATTTTATTATTCATTATATTGCTTTTGTGAATTTTCAAGACACATCACTTTTTAGGTTACTCAAAATATAATTTTCTCTTGCAGCAAAAAGAAACCACCACAGAACTTACACAAGAAATTGTGACAAAGCACCCACTTCAAAATAGTTGGAGCTTATGGTTCTACAGATCTGATAAAAGCAAATCATGGGCAGAAAACTTGAGAAAAGTCATCACTTTCAATACTGTATCCTCTTTTGATTTTTCAGTTGGTCTGAAACAGATTGTATTTTTATATTAATACTTAAATTCAGAATTTCTCTGACTTGTTGGTCAATTGCTGCAAGCTGTTTTGTTCACCCGCAACTATTTGCAAAGTCTTGCCCAAGCAACAACCGCATGAAATAAAATGGTTGATCATTAACAGGAGCATGCTTATTTTTACATTGTTTTCTGATCCATTCCCTTAAATCACCCTAATTTCTCAAAAGGTTAACTTTGTTGGATGAGCAATTGCCCTGATATGTCTATTATATTAGGCAATTATCACATTTATGGAGATGTCTTTTCAGAAAAGCCAAGTTGATCCTAAGTCTTCCTTGTTCATGAATGCCCAAGTATCTAGAAATGTCTTTTCTTCCAAATTTTGTGTTTTGATTTATTTGACAGTATTGATGTATCTTTCCCTAACTCAATAAATATTTACAGGTTGAAGATTTTTGGGGGTAAGTGAATATTTTATATACTCTCAAATTGTACTCATGGCTGAGAATGGGAGATAACAATGATCTTTTTAGCAAACTTTCCTGTATTCATAGAAGCTTTAAAATTCTCTTTCCTGGTTTTCCTCTTAGCCTTTAGAACATTACAAGATTTTTTTTATTTTATTGCAAAAGGATGAAGCATGGTGCATATTTTATGAATGCAGGAATTTTAGGAACCCCTGGCAATGCATATATTCAGGAATTTACCTCTGTCATTAGAAGTAGCAACGTTAGATAAGATATTGTCAATTCTGGTATGTGAAACAAGCAGACCAAGAGATATAACTACCATGAAAATTTCAAAATTTGGGTTGTTTATTAGAATAATCCTTTTGTAATTAATCCTCTTAAAACCACATTTCTAGTGAGAAGTGAAGCAGAATTTTATAAACAACAGATCTGCACATTATAGCAAATTCCTACTTCTGCTCTAGTTTATAGTCTATCTGCGTGTGTTACATTTCTTTGCTTTCCACTTCCCAAAGGGTCTATAATCATGTGCTGTTAGCAAGTAAACTGCAGTCAGGTTGTGACTACTCTGTCTTTAAGGTTTGTTTCAAATTGTCAGTTTTAGTAAAATACAGTGTTCATTATTGCAGGATGTTTTTTTGTTCATACATTTTCTATGTGAAATCTCTGTTAATCAATGACTGTTTTTGTTTATTTCTGTGATGTTGGTGTATAAAACAGGACAGTTCTAGGTTGTTACAGTTCCTACTAATTTTTTCTTTATTACTTTTTTATGATTTACCTATTATTCAACACCAAAATTGAAATACTGCATTATTCATCACTAAACATAAATTTAGAACCATTAAACCTCACTTTCTAGCTTTGTCCGAACGTTTTCTATAAAGATTATATATGTTTTGTGGTTCAATACAATGAGCACACACCTGCTTGTTTTTGTCTTATGTGATGCCCTCTACATTCTCACCCTTCACACCAAAGATCTTTGGGTCCATATATAGTTTCTTGTGTATTTAGGCATAGTTTCCTAAAACTTTTTCCTATAGTCATTAATTGGTGTGAATGTGTGACATGGTTTATCTCATAACTAGAAGGTCTGGGAAATCTTTGGCAGAAAAATGTTATGGAAATTTAGAGGAGTGTGTTTTGTTAATCACTGTTTGGTTAGTGGCATCTATTTAACTATTTGACTAGGAAACGGTTGTTCTTTATTGTTTTGTAGGAAGGAATAGAACCAATGTGGGAAGATGAAAGAAACAGACTTGGTGGCAGATGGCTGATAAATGTAAACAAGGGTAACCGTAATGCAGAACTAGATAGACTATGGTTAGAATTGGTATGTATTTGCTGTTATTCATCAGATTATCATGCCTGTCTTTTGGTTTGATATTCTAAGCAAAGATAACATGTCAATGTAGAATAAAGCATTGAAAGTATAAATTGGCAATTACAATGTATATTTATTACAGACAGTGCAAGCTTATATAGGCTGTGATCTCCAATCTTAGTTAGGTACATTAAATCAATTCTGTATAAAAGCATATCAAGATTCAACAATATTTGAAAGGTTTTGTAGCAATGTTTCTATAAGAATTTTTCAGAAAACTAGAAAATCTAGGGTTTAAGAAACAATAACAGCAGTTATCATGTCAACAGAAAAGCCTTTGTTTTGTACCAAGCGAGATTTTTATATAGACAGCTAGACCCTCTCTGAACTGTTGTCTTAGCAACACACTCCTTTTGGTTACTCAGAAAAGCTACTCTTAAAATCGAGTTTTAAAGTGTCATAGCTATACAATTCTTGTTGTGGATCAAAAGGATTTTACCCTTAATTCTCTTAATTACAGCTGCTGATCCTTGTTGGAGAAGCATTTGGTGATGATCATGATTCCGTTACTGGTGCTGTTGTGCAGAAAAGAAATAAAGGAGACAAAATTGGCCTATGGACTTGCAAATCAGACGAGCAAGATTCTATCTTAAGGATAGGGTACGTTAATAGGCTTACAAATTTTCCATTCTCTAAAAGTTCGCGTCATACACTGCATATTTGTGTCACCAAATATGATGAAGCCTTTTTTGACTGCGTCTCTATTCCATTTAGTTTCTCTATCACCCCTTTTGGGCTGTTTTTCCCACTTATATATACAGTCAACAGTTGGAATTTTTCTTTGAACTTCCGTCGTTTTTTCCCTTTTTTCAATTTGCTATTCTTTTTAGTCAGTTTTTGTGTTGGATGTCAATATCAAATTTTTGTTGTTGTAGTCTTCTGTACAGCTGTTTTGTTTTTGTATCTGAAATAAGTATAATGTAAAATTCAAGGAAATGAATTTGATGATAAGCACATATTTAAGAAGCATTCACGTTACTAGCAGAACTTTCAGCCTGCCGAATCAGTTAACTATTTCTCTCCAATTTGCTTTGAGTCCTATGTCTCATGAATTTATTGTTTGCTGTAGGAAATTTGTGAAGGAAAGACTGTCTTTGACAGGTAAAAACTCCATAGGATACCAGGTAGGCTATTCTTAAGATTTAAAGTCAAGACATTGCTAGTGTGGACAGTTGTTCCCATATTGTACTTTTTATTGAGATTTTATTATCATTTTGTTCATGTAAACTATTTGTTGGTTTAATTCGTGAATGATGATGTACGATCCTAGATAAATATCGTGTTCAGAGCTTCCCTCTAGAAGAAGCTATTACAGTAAGAAAATTAACTAGCTGGTTACTGATTTTTAAATGGAACTAGATTTACAATGTGTTTGCATCGACAAAATTGTTTGCACCCAAGGCCATCAATGTTTGTAATCAATTGATATCTAAACCAGTTAGTACGGTGGCCCACAGGTGCCACGGCAAAACTTACTTTCTCACGGCAAAACTTTCTTTTTTCACGGCAAAACTTTCTTTTTTCACGGCAAAACTTTCTTTCTCACGGCAAAACTTTCTTTCTCACGTCAAAACTTACTTTCTCACGACAAAACTTACTTTCTCACGACAAAACTTACTTTCTCACGGCAAAACTTTCTTTCTCACGGCAAAACTTTCTTTCTCAGGACAAAACTTTCTTTCTAACGGCAAAACTTTCTTTCTCACGGCAAAACTTTCTTTACATGATGTTGTGTACGTGACACTTAGATCTAATCAATGCTTTAGACGTTTTAAACTTCGCAGATTTGTGAATACCTACATCTTCTCTTGATAATTCTTGCAGAAAGACAGCCCAGAAATGGTCTAAAATTTATCTAGGTTGGGCTAGGCTAGGCTAGGCCTATATGCCTATCTCAACGAAACAGTACCGCATTAAAGGTCTTTGATTCCTTTGTTTTGAAAGCAGTGAAAAAGATCAATTCGTTGAAAATTGGTGTGCACATAAAATTCGTGCAAAAAGATCTCGTACGTGCACTTGGCACGCTCGATTGTGGCTTGTAAAAAACCTATAAATTGGGTATTGTGTTTAATATCATATCATATCGTATTACTCACAGGGTGGGTTGATGGCTAGGTACTTAATTTTTCGAATAATAGTAATAACAATGAATAAAGAAATGAAATAATAAGCATGGGCATAATATAAGGGGAGAAAAAAATACGACGACGAGAATCCAATGTCACGAGATAAAATTTTCAAAATATATTAAATTTAAGTAATAAATTAAATTCAAAGAAATTTTTGCCGTGAGACGTAAAGTTTTGCCGTGAGAAATAAAGTTTTGCCGTGAAAAAATAAAGTTTTGCCGTGAGAAAGTAAGTTTTGCCGTGAGAAAGAAAGTTTTGCCGTGAGAAAGTAAGTTTTGCCGTGAGAAAGAAAGTTTTGCCGTGAGAAAGAAAGTTTTGCCGTGAAAAAAGAAAGTTTTGCCGTGAAAAAGAAAGTTTTGCCGTGAGAAAGTAAGTTTTGCCGTGGCACCTGTGGGCCACCGTAAGTTAGGGATCTATTACCTATAGGCAGATATAAGCCCTTAGCTTCTCGGTTTCACTAGCAAATGCGCCAACGGGGCCAGAAGAATACCATTTCTCTCAAAAGTTTGCTATATCGACTTCGTAGTTAGCGGGGTTTGTACATTGTATTTACGCATTGCTGGTGAAAGATTGAATCTAGTATGCGTAATGTAGAGAATATCTATACAACAGAACTTTATTTCTAAAGTTTGTGACAGATTTTGGCAATCTAAGCTTTTGAATAAATATAATTGATATCACGTTTATTTTCTTTCTAGTCTCATCTAGATACAGCTGGCAAAACTGGATCCACAGCCAAAAATAAATTTACTTTATAGTAGAACATAGAGCTTAGATGGAATTTCAAAGCATGAAATTTTGAAAATTGGAACACAACAGGAGGCATTATCTGTGACATCCGTAAAATTCTGAAGAGGGAAGGTAAATTTCGAGTGATTGGAACTTCGACTGGGGAATTTTATCTCTGGGTACTTGCCAATTGTTGGAGAGTGACTGTCAATAAATCTTATACGAATTTTCTTAAATGTGAACATTAAGGACCTATTGAGTAGAAAACATTATATACACTGCTTGCCATTGATAAAACGTAAACCTATTCAAGTAACATTATTAGACCCATCTTTCCGTACGAAGAGAAGCATATATGCATATCGCTTTCATACATAAGCCGAAGTGCACGCTGCATGTATTGCAATAACCCATGCCAAAGCTCGTTGATACGGTGGAATGTTTACTAAGATTTTGTGTTAATATATTAACCCAACAATTTACCTAGCGCTTAAAACCCTATACAACGTTGACGGTCTCATTTTCATGTTTTTCCTAATATTCCAACTTGTTTTTAGAATTGATTCCTAAAGGTGTATTAAAAACATAGTTATTTGTTAAGGTTTTCAAACGTCTCCCCACCAGAATCATCGGCTGCGTCTTCTCTGTGTTTTGAAATTGTTTGTGTTTATAAAGTAGATTTAAAGCTTCTACTTTTGTTCTAAATCGACACTTGAAATGGCGTAGATTGCTGTTTAAACCCTGCCATATATAAAGCGTTCTTAATATGCAACTGCAGAAAGTAAAGGGTTGAATCAAATGAAAATTGAAAGAAAATTAAACGAAATAATTTTTTATTACCCTGCACATTTTACTTTATTTTAAAATCTACAAGCTCGCACAATGTTTGTGTTTGTTTCCCAGTGGTACGTAGAGAGCTATCCTCCTAACTTTTGCCAAAGTGAGATTTTGTTAAATAAGAAAGGATGTCTCTGTTCACCTATATGTTATTATTTGATAAAGTAATCTATTGTAATGACGGTTTTTATAGAAACTATATTGCAGCTTTCTGGAGAGTCGGAAACTCTAAAACAAAGGGGCCTAAGACAGAGAGCAACGCAAGGTAAACGATTCTTCCAGGGCTGGACTTGGCCATTTCCCTTTCAGGCACAACGGAAACCTTTCTGCTGAATTTAAATCAAATTTGCCACCCCCTGCTCCATTTAGGTGTTGGCCTCAGAAGCAAATCGTTACACCTTTTTATTGCGTATTAATGATTTATTTTTATTTGTTTATCGATTTAAAATAGCAGCAATTTCTCCTTATTAGCAAATTATTGTTCTACTGTTACTGTGATATAACTGTCAAATTTACAACATTTTTAATTAATGGGTTGAATCGTGAGACCTTCATCGAGTTAAAGGATAGTTTAAAGCATAGTACCCTTATCAAGATAGCGGCGATCGTTATAAGGGAAGAGCCTTTTTTGCTTACTAACTTATACTCTCCCGATATACAAGGTTGGTGTATCATGTCAAGTTGCTCTCCATCGTCTTTACTTGTGTTTTAAACGTTTTTTATTTTTAACCGTTGTGTATTGCCATTAGGTTCGCTGTTGTGTGTAGATGTCGTAGTTTGAGAAGACTCAAGTAAACAGGTCGTCATCGCATTCACTATCTAGTAGACTTGTCAATAACTCGTTTTTCGTGAAAGATGTTTTCTCTATTGACACTTCACTTTTCTGCCCCCGTACCTATGAGAATTCCAGCCTTATCTGGGATGTCTTGGTCATTACTCTCGATGTCACCCCACTTCGCAACGTGTGAAATCAGAATCCTGACCAGACAAGGGAAGCGTGTCAAAAGTTAGAGGGCAAAAGGAAAAAGGGACACTTTGTCTCAGAAAAGGATTACTTTTCCAGAAGCTGGGTACTTCTGTGAAAAGGGGGATTTTCTCTGGGGGCACATGACACCGGTCTATCCAGCTTTAAAGTCCCTTCGAATAAGATTCGCAAGAATAGGGATACCCAGCCATCGTGGCTGTGTTCCAGTTATTTTCTAACTGCTTAGGGATGCTGAAAATTATATCTGGAACTTTAGTGACAAACTTGTTTTTGGAAGATCATTGCTTTGCCTTTTGACAAAAACTCCACAGAGCAATTATAAAGATCAAAATACATTTTTCTTAACATGCAAAGGGAAGTTAATTTAGTGGTTTGTTTTTAAGAAACCTTTCAACCCTAAAATGAGCAAATTATTTAAGAAGGAAAGTATTTCTCTCATACTTAGTTTGAACGAAAATGGGTCTCCATGCGTTATTAATAATTAATTGGTCCTATCACTAAACTAATTAATTGTGTCATAATTCATTTTTTAAGGGAAGATGCTTAAAAAATCTTATGAAAAATAACGCAGACTTTTGAATAAATTGAAGCGAAGTTTAAAGTTTTTTGGCATATCTTTTAGACAAAGAGAATAGAGCCGCATGTATTTCTGCGAGGGTGTCTATAGCCTCGATTCGATTTCTTGCCGGTCAAATTCAAAATGGCCAGAATAATGATAACAAGAAGAGTAACCAGTAAAGTTTTATTAACCTGTACTCGACGTTGGATTACATCGTACTGATACAAGGGTTTGTTGCAAATTTTTTTGAATACTGCCTTATCATTTCAATGTACTGCCTTATCACTTCAACTGGAGCGCTGGGTGGAAATGGTATTAATCCTATTCCTGAGTTAATTTTTCTTTTTTTAATGCTCCTTGAGTAAATGCTCCAGATTGGTTGTATAGCCCTTAGGAGTTAACGATTGAAGATTGAAGATGTTTCTTTGTATTTGTGGTGACATTGTTTGCCATCATCTACATTAAGTGAAGTGCCTTTTGTTTTAGTTTTAAATGGTTGTGATAAAAGCAACTAAATTTTTCGAATTTAGCAGACCCCTTTTACATTTTTTGAATATCCGAAGAGCTATTAGAGATCATAATGCAAATAAGGATCATTTACGTCTTCATATTAAGCCAAGCTTCTGTCTAAAAACCTATAATACCTACCAGGAACTTTGACCAAAGCAGGAATTAGTTTTAGAATATATATAAACATTTCCTGTAAAACTTTTGTGGTGGGCATACAGCCAATGAATGCAATTATCACGAGAAATTTCTTCAAAATATTTTTTTTAATTTTGATAACCTTTTTTGTTAACTCTTAAAAGCACTAATAAACAATTTTGTCATGAAGGAAATCGTTTTGATCATATACATGTGATTTTTGGGGAACAACAATTTGAAATGGCTTGGAAACAAGCAGAAATTTTTTGAAATATACTTTAAATATAAATAATATAAATAAAATAAGTAACCTTTTTGTCTGACACTCTTCAGTGTATAAAAATTCTAAGCTAATTCTATTTTCTAGCTAGGAAATATATATATACCCACTTGTTAATAAAAAAAGGCCAATCAAAAACTCAAGCAAATGACTGTTGAAGTTGCCCAATCAGTGGCGCTTGCTTAAAGGAAATGTCACAAATGGAATCGAAGAGTGAAATCAAACTTCTTCTTTCTACACAAGCGCTTTTTCCATTTTATGAAAATTCCATAAAATCCCGAATATAGGCCTTTAGCTAATAACAGTTCAAAGGCCATTTTTGGAGGGCTCATAATTTTTGGGGGAGACTATATTAAGGAAGGGCTGTAATTGAAATTAAGTAAACAAATGGTCATGTTGTTGCAAGAAAATGGTGTTTTTATGTTTAATTCAAATTATAGAAGTGCTAGGCTAATACTTTGGAGGACTACATTTAGAAGCAAGTTTATGTCCCAGGAGTTGAGGCCTTATATTTTGGAAAATAAATTCAGGGAGGACTATATTCGGAATTTTACTGTAGATTCTAAAACTGATAGGTGAAATGACGACGAGATTCTCAATGATAGAATCATGTGCAACCTTCTCAAGCATTGTTCACAAACCTCCTAATAACAGAATCACATGTTTTAGTTGTTGTTTTTTATCTGGAAAGCCAAGGGGACTGTTCTCTTTGGCAGGCCTCTCAGTTTGAGGCATGTGATTGTGTGCCCACACCTTGACACCTGCCCAGACAAGACAAGGTGCATATTATGTCATGCACCTGCTTCTCAAAACGTAGTGATGTCAGGCACCTCGCCATTTGCATTTAAGAATACTTTTTTATCAGAAACATTGTCTTGTTGCTCCAAGAATCATTTTTAAAGTTCCACATTCATCATTTATGCGATATGCTTGTTAAATAATGGAAAACCATTTGTGCCGGTCAAGTGTGATTAAATAACCACTCTGAATCGGAATCGCCACAACAGTCTAGCTACGCTTGTTCAAAATCAAATAATATGTAAAGTTTCTGTTGGGGGTGTCTATAAAACATCAAAGTTATAAGGTTATATAATTCTTTGGTACCACAAAGCTTTCAAATTGAACCGAAAAGCTGTAACATCAAAAGTACTGTTTTCCATATCATTTTAACCAAAAGTTATGAATCATGTGTCTCGATAAAAATATTGCTTCGAGGCGCGTGATGGCCCAAACACCTGTAAAAATCTTAACAGTCTTCTTTAGGGGAAACTTTTGTTTCTAATGTCAAAACCTTTCTAATGTCCCTTTGGAAATACTGTTTTATTCTACAAAGTAAGCATACCTTTTCAAAAAGGAAACATAAATAAAGCACAATAACAAAATATAACACAAAATATACCAATAACACAAAAAAATGAACAAACAAGATGAGATTTTATTATTGGTGCATGTATTATTTTCTACAATGTAATTTGTTTAATAATACTCTTGAAAAATTGCTCCAGACCTACTCTGCACCACATGAAGACAGCCTACTGATAAACGCGGCCCTCTGATAACGGCCCCCTCAATTGAACGCCACACTTTCATCCAACCATATGTAATAAACACCCCTCTCTCATAAATGCCACCCTCTTTTAAATGCTACATCTTGGAAGCGGCATTCAATAGAAACAGACCAAACAAGAAGTAACAAAAAGTTTATACCAAAAGCTTTGAAAGCCTTTTTGTCATTGGAACAATGACACAGACAGAGACAGTGGTATTGACATTCCTTGACATTTCCATAATGTGAACATATCTTTTGTGAATATGTTTTTATTGTTTTCATTGCTCCTTTTTTGTTTTTTTATTTGATAAGCACTTTTTATTGTGCTAAACGCTGCTCTCTGATAAATGCCACCCTCTATTAAATGCAACCTTCTATCAAACGCCCCATCAGGTGGATCTTGTAATAAACATGGTGGCGTTCTTTAGAGGAAATACGGTCTATTATAGAGTGTCTCTTCCTTCTAACATACTGTCTTTGCTTTTGAATTTTCAGTGATAATGGTGTATCTATCTGTTTGCCGTCAAATTTTTTCAAGAGAATATTATTTTCTTTCTCAGGTCTTGTATGTCATTATATTTTATTTTCTTGCAGACCATGGATAATTTTCTGAAGAGTGGTCTTGTCCTCAGTCCCTATTTGACATATGAAAGGTAAGATGTAGCCGTAGCAAACAAAAGTATGAAGTAGTAAAGGGTTGCTTTTGGTATAAGCAATGGAGTTTTTGGTAATATATGTTCGTTTATTCTTGCTAATAGTCCCTAGAATCTAAATGACTAAGATTTTTTATATCTCTTATCTAAGACCCATCTACTTAAGGCAATTTATGATAAACTATAGGTTGTCTGTTGCCTAAGAAGAGCTATCATCTTTTCTTGAGATTGAATTTAAGTAACAGCCCATGTAATTTCTAACCCTTCTAAAACTGGGTTTACTTCACCTCTCCCCCCCCCCCTCCTATGAATTAATTTTATGTTGCTATAATCTTGGCAAAAAATAGCTGAGACATATGATCGAAAGGGGAATTTGCGTGCTTTATCTTCATATAATGTGCGCTGGTGACCTAAACCCCCTTCCTCTTGTGGTCAATGTTGTTTAGGATGGTTGCAGAATAAGTGGGGATTACAACATTAGCTACCAATCCAGTCACAACATTGATTCGGGGGAAAGGGGGTGGGTGATTTGTAAGTAGCTTCTTTTTTGCAAGTGTCTCAGCATTTTTTGCCAAGATTGTAGTTAGAGAAAGTACAAGTTGTCATTGTCGACTGGTGAATATTGGAAGGTGGAAACCAATGGGAACCCAAAGCCCAGCCCCCACCTCTCTCAAAATCGACTCTTCCTTGTGAGTTATTGATGCTTCTTCCTGCTACATGATTGAGATCAGGGTTGCAAAACTCTTAAAACTGCAGAATATTATTGAGCTCAATATTACTACACAAATATTTCTATGCTATTTTTTCTTGTTTTTGCAGAGAGTGGACATAGCTTATAAAGCATCTATGATAGACCAGGACATAATGCTCCAAGACCCAGGGCCAGTGAATATTCCAGTCAGATACTGTCTATGACCATATTGTAAGTGACAAATCTGTAATTTAAGGCACTCAATTCTCTCTGAAAGGTAAGTTATTGAATATACTTTGCTCATCCCTTTATACATTGTCCTCTAAATATCTGTGTAAATTAGTCAGTCATGTCACTAGTAAAGCTATTTCTCAAAGTTATTGATGCTTGGTACATGACAAAGTTAGACTTTTGTCGCTATGTATATTTTCATTGACTTTGTTCATCAGCTCATTTCTAATTTTCTTTTCCAAATTGCTTCCCAAAAATGTAAGAATTTTTTTTAAGAT